ACCTTTATTTCTACAGGTAAATCTCATTGAGCCTCGAGGACTCATTTACAAGAGAGCCCTGATTTCAACAAAGAATGATGACAACAATGGACAGTTATAAAAAGTCATACTGCAGGGTTTTTAAACAAATAGGATGGCTAAAAAAAGGTAACAAAAACAGCTAGATTCTAAGGTGAATGTAGAAAATAAAAACAGGAACATGTCAGCATTGGTCCCTGCCAGGAGTCCAACAGATTCTTAAAGACACTTAGAGAGGTCAAAGGTCGAGAGCTTCAGGTCTTTTTACAAGATGTTCCAGGAAACAGGAGCGGAGTAGGAGAAGGTCCTTTTGTCTAGTTCAGTCCTCACTGAGGGAACACTGCAGGTAATAATGTCCTGAGAGCGCACGCTGTAGCTGCACTCACACAGAGACATGTAGGAGGAGATGTATGAAGGCAGCAGACCAAGAAGTGATTTAAAGATGAAAATGTACCAGTGAGAGAGTCTGCGTGAAGTTAATGGTGACCAGTTAACCAGTGAGTACTGGGTGCAGTGGTGGGTACAGTAGTTACAGACAGTTATGAATCTTAGTGCACCATGATAGACAGCATCCAACATCTGCAGCATCCAACATCTGCAGCATCCAACATCTGCAGCATCCAACATCTGCAGGGTTCTTGTAGGAGCGTTCATGTAAATAATGTCACCGTAATCAATGGAGAGAAGGAAAGTCACAGATACAAGGTGTTTCCTAACATTCAGGGTTAGACAGGATCTGTTTCTGAAAAAGAAACCCAGTTTAACTTTCAGTTTCTTTACCAAGTTTTCCACATGGAGCTTAAAAGAGTGATGCGAGTCGACCAAGATACCCAAATATTTATAGGAATCAACAAACTCAATGGGGACACCATTTGAGGATAAAATCAGAGGAACTGCTGGGACTGACTTCTTGTTTGAAAAATGCATCCCTTTGGTTTTGTCGGCATTTAGGACAAGTTTGAGGTGGAACAAATCAGTCTGAATGATGTTAATGATGCAGATTTCAAAAGCTGGAAAGCCTTAGCAACAGTTTTAGCTTGACAATAAACAACTGTGTCATCAGCATAGAAATGTATGGATGCATTAGGGATGTTTCTACCTACACTATGTATGTAGATTGTAAAGAGGGTGGGTCCTAAGACTGAGCCTTGTGGTACACCATTGTTGACTGTTAAATAACTGGAGGAAGTGCCATTATGTTGAACACATTGCCTCCGGTCTGAAAGATAGTTAGAGAACCAACCAATGGTGTGATCTGAGAAACCAATTTCTGAGAGTTTATGACACAAGATGTTCTGATCCACAGAGTCAGAATCTTTAGACAGGTCTAAGAAAAGTGCAGCACAATAATCCTTAGCATCCAGTGCTTCAACAACATCATTAAGAACCTTCAGTGAAGCAGTGGTTGTGCTGTGTTGTTTCCTGAAACCAGATTGATGGGGAGGTAAGATGTTAAATGAGTCCAGGTCATTTTTGATTTGAGAGTTTATCAGTTTTTCTAGAACCTTGGCTAAAATGCAGAGTTTAGAGATTGGTCCATAGTTGTTCAGTGAGGTGGGGTCTCCTCCCTTCAGCAAAGGAAGAACAAAGGCTGTTTTCAAGTGTCTGGGATGGAGTTTTGTCTCATGGAGAGATTGAAGATGTGGGTCACAGGGACTGTGATGATATGAGCAGCCAGCCTTAAGAAATAAGGTGGAAGTTCATCTGGACCTGCAGATTTTTTAGGATCAAGATCTTTTAACAGTTTATTGACCTCACTGTCTGAGAACGGAGAAAAAGAGAAGGTGTGATTAACTGAGGATTGACTTGTAGGAGGGATTTGATTTGTAGAAGTTTGGTTATTAAGTGAAGTGGCTGATCTTCCATTAGTAACTGTGTCAAATAAAGAACTAGAAGCAACAAAATGTTTGTTGAAACAGTTCAGGATCTCGTGCTTATTTGACACAGGAACAGAGTTAACGAGAAGTTGTGATGGGAGGTCAGATGATTGGGGGCTACCTGAGAGAGATTTGATGGTTTTCCAGAATCGGTTAGGGTCATTTAGATTTTTGGAGGTCCGAGATAAGAAATAGTTGTGTTTTGCTGCTTTGACAGCAGTTGTGCATTTATTCCTCATCTGTCGAAAACTCAACCAATCAGTGTCTTAGCCAGATTTTCTCGCTGCGGCCCAAAGATGGTCTCTCCTGTGCAGGAGGTCAGCTAGCTCTGGAGTAAACCAGGGGCTGTCTCGTCCCTTTATTCTGAACGGACGAAAAGGAGCATGTTTGTTCAGAAAATAAATAAAACTATTATGAAAATAGTTCCAAGTGGAGTTCATGTCATCAGTTAACAGAATACGATGCCAGTCAAAGTGAGACAGATCCCAGAGGAACAACTGTTCACAGAAATGATTCAGATCCCTTTTTTGAATTAATCTGGGCTTAGAAGGTGGAAGTTTAATATCTCAGAGTCGCTGTTTCACAATGATCACTCAAAATGTTGGTGAATAGACCTGTAACACGGAATTTGTGAGGCACATTAGTTAGAAACAGGTCTAAAATGGAAGACTTTTCAGGACGGTTTTTGTTTGGTCTAGTCGGAGAGTTGATCAGTTGGGTTAGATTGAGAGACAGGCAACATTCCTTGAATTTATCACAGAGGGGGGTCGACTTATCCCAGTCAATGTAGAAATCTCCGGCCAAAAAATCTCTTTGAATTTTAAATTTCCAAGGAATTCCATCAGGAAGGACAGAGCCTCAGGTGTTGCTGAGGGTGGACGATAACAACAGACTACAGTTAAGATCTGGCCTCCAGTCAAAGTGATGTTTACAGCTAAGGCATCAATTTGGTTTGGAATTGTTTTAGAAGACATAAGACTAGAAACCAGAGAATCTCTGAAGTAAACAGCGACCCCCCTTTCTTTTTGACGATCACAGCGGTAGATGTTAAATCCATTGATTGTCAGGTCATTATTGAGTACAGATCTGTTGAGCCAGGTTTCAGAGATGAAGATAACATCTACCCCAGAAGAACTGACCAGAATTTTCAAGGCATGAAGTTTTCTCAGAAGGCTACGAGCGTTTACATGCAGAAAATGAAGCCCAGACACGTTCTTAAAGTCATTTGGTGTCATATAAATAGTGGGGGGTCCAGGGTTGGGTTGAATCCCTGAGTGCAGTAACAACAGTAACACACACACACACACTATATATATATATATATATATATATATATATATATATATATATATTTATATACACACACACACACACATACATATACACACATACTGACGTGAAGGTTGGTTTAGGTTTTTAAAGGTAGAACCCAAGGATGCAGGCAGGACTCGGTAGACTCGGTGGTAAAATAAGAAGACACTTTTAATAACAAAAATAAATGGCTGTCGAGGCAGCACAACTTAAATGTAGAAAATCACAAGGAAGCACTCAGGAAAACACCAGGGACTCAGGAGGATTAACAGGAGAATACTAGACGATGCCCGGACAAGGAATAACACTAAGACACAGGATTATATACAAACACTGATGAGGACAAAACACAAAACACCTGTCAGGCTCACAGGTGTGGGAAAAGGGAAATCACATGAGAGGAAACAGGACAGAGACAGGACAGAGACACACCACTAGGGGCAATATCACCACACATACATACATATACACATATACACACACATACATATACATATATATACACACACATACATATA